CACACACACACACACACACACACACACACACACACACACATCCTCCTGAAAACAAACAGTGTTGAAATTGAACCATCTTGTTATAAGATTAAAGCTGCTTTTTGGTTCATACAGTGTTGAGGTGAGTGCCGTGGGTTCAGTAGGGGGCTATGGGTGGTGGGAGACAAATGCACTTCCTATAAAATCTGTTGTATGGCTACATTTTTCTCATATTGTATTTGCATTTTCCATGTCTGTAAGATTTTCTCTCCTCTGACTGCTCTGTAATCGTGTTTGCAGCTAGTTGTGGAAGTTGTTAATAGGGATTAACATTCTCCTTGTTGAATTCTCCGTAGCCTGGAACATTCTGCAGATTCTTCTCATAGCCCGGCAGCTGGATAATACCTTTAGAACAAAAACTAAACTTGTCAGCCTGTCTCCCTATTAGCAATGCTTCCTCCCCCTGCTGCTGTATTTAATGGTGACTATAGCCAGGGCCTCGCCAGCTCCTCAGAAGGAGATTCCTCTGTGCGGATTGTTGTGCCGTTTACTACTAATGAAACGAACCTGGCCACTCTTCGTGTCGCAGCGGTCTGGTGAACAGCGGGGGTAGGCTGTTGGTTGGCTCCGATGTTTGACCAGACAGTGTTTGCGGAGGGAGAGAGGAGGGTTGTGTAAGTACTGTGAGAGAGGAACAACATTATAAGGGTCCCCTAACCCAACAATCAGCAATCTGACTTTTCTGCAGGGAGGTGGGGGTGGGATTTGCAAGTTTCGAAAAGGTTACTTAATGCAGTGTGTACTCAAAAAGGGTCAAATCCAGACCTGCTGATGCTCCTGATGCATTCCAGTTCATATTAAACATTTACCCGGGGGACTACAAGGATGATGACGACTTATCTTAAGAGGAGACCCTTGTTAGGTAGTCCCTTTCCTTTGAAGTAGTGGAAACCTACATTACCCAGCATAGCTATGTGTAGAGAGCAGCAGCGTGGAAATAGGGCTGCATTACGACCATCTATAAATAGGGGATTGTATCCTTGATACCACGGGTTGTTTGGTCACGCAGTGAAACCGGGTCGACTTATATGGATTTAAGACAGTTACTCCCCCTCCTCGCCTCTGTCTGCTTTCCTCTGTAGGAAGGTATGCATGTTTGGGATTTTTCTTCATTGAGGAGTCGTTTAAAATGATGCAGAAAGAAGCTCCAATAAGGCTCATTAGAGTTTGCTTTGGCTGCCCCCTTTTGGTAGGATTCCAAGAAAATGAAGCCACGCTGTGTTTTTTTTTCTTACTAAATGTGCAGCACCAGTCGGCCTGCTCTGGCATACTAGAGTCAGCATCATGTTTCTAATCAAATCATAGCTGCTACATGCAAGTATGTGAGTGTGTTGGCATTTGATGCTGTAGTTTAAAAAAAAGATCTTTGGTATTTGTACTGGACCCAATCCAAAACAGTTAGATACACTATTGGTGAAAATATACTGTTTGTGAAGGAGCCGCTCGAATCCTGTCGTCACAGAAAATGTGCGTAGAGGAAGATATACATAGCATTATGGCCTTTCCCACGCTGAGTATTATACTCATGTCATCATGCAAACACTTGTTGGGGTGGTGCAGTATAGAACTATAATTATGATTACGAATTATAATGTGGCATGTAATTAAACTAATGATTTAAATACGCTGTTCAGTAGCTTTCTGGTCATATAACTCATTCAAATTTTAGTGATTCCAGTACTTCAAATGCTTGAATTTTTTTTGTCATTAGCTACTGAAACAACCAATATGTGGCCCATAATAAGAACACTTATTGAGAATAGGTTCTTAAATTTTTGTAACTAACTTAAAAATATTAAAGTGAAGGGAAATTTTGTAAATGAAAAAATGGGAATTCTAAATTGATTATTTTTATTTATTTATTTAAAATGGAATATCTGTGTAGGCATACATACTTTTACTTGCACATTGCAATGATGATCAGAACACCTCTTTCCAATCAGTTTAACACAGGTAAAGACCTAAAGGTTTATTAAAGAAGCTATAATTTAGTGATGGAGATTTCATACAACTGTGTGCATTACCTCCTTCAAAGAATATTGCTGATAATTTTGTTTTGATAATATAAGAAAGATGTATTTGAGAAACCTTGCAGAAATGAAAGTCTCAGACTGAGTATGCATTTATTCCGCAGCAGTGCTGATCTGTACCGTGAACCGTTTCAACCTGCACAGATGTTTTGTGAAGCAAGGGGAAGTACCCTTCCAGAGATCAGCCCAACACAAGGGTTCAATTTTCTTTACTGATTAACAAATTGAACACAAATGAAACGCAATGCACCCAAACCTGCCTTTAATTTAAAATCAAATAAACAAGCGGAGCAGAGAGTCCTTTTCTGCAGCGTACACAAATATTCACATATCTACATGCATGCTAACACGTTGGACACACATGTGCACTCTTCATTCAGACAATGGCGTGTGTTACGAGGAAGGCTTAAATAATATGAATGAAGTAATTTGTGTATTGTAATGGTTGTGCGAATTTTAATAATAATATAAAAATAACACATAAAACATATTGATGGCGTGTGTGTACTCGTGTTTTCTTTAAGCTCTGACTGCATGGAGAAATCACAGTTCCTCTGCCTCATTTTTTCACTTCATTTTATGCAAAGAAATTTATCTTGTAGTCAAAAGCACAACAATAAATGGTAAACCCTTACGTTCTCAAAATCTAAATAACAAACGTCTGTGGAGGCCGCAAAAAGCATTGCTCTTTCCAAATAGTTTCTATGTAAATTAGGCAGATTTAAGAAACGGCGATAAATAACAATTAACAAAAAACAATAGATTTATTATCTGTTACAGAGGGCAGCTTTCCCCCCCCCAAGTGACTCCTCAGCTGCTATTTGTATAAAGTACAGTGTCACCAGGCCTTTCACAACCACACAGATTCCCACAGACACAGACACACACAGTCCAGGTGTTTTGTCTATGGAAGTAGGCTTATCTAAAACTAGGGCACCCCTGTGTCTCATGATTAGCTAGCGGTGGGAAACGTCTGCTTTCTTCTCTTTACATCTGTTTTTCCTGAGGAGACTTTGTGTGAATAGGCTACAGCAAAAAAAATAAATGCTTTTGAACATTAAAAACAGACGTTTCCTTTTGCTTTTGCTGTTTTTCATATGTCACTGTTCATTTAGAGTAAGACAGATGGGATTAACACAAGTACTTAGGAAGACTACATACAAGCAAAGATCGGGGTTTTGTAGTGTGTTCTTAGCTGAATGAGTACTTTCTCATAACTGTAGTCTTTCCTGCATCAAAGTTTGGACTTGGAAACACTTATTCTCTAGTGATGACGACTCGTATATTAACCGTCCCGTTTCAAGCTCAGTCAGATAAATCTGACTAACTGTCTGTCCTTCCAAGCAATGGGAAAATGCCGCGCTTTATTGATAACATATTGTTTGCTGCTTGGTTTCTGAGTGATGCCCAAAAAACAGTGACTATTATTCATGGGGCTCGAGCTTAATTCGAAACACCCTGCGCAATCATTTTCTGTGGGAAGTGATTCTTTGTTAGACGCTGTAATAGAAAGGGTGTGATTCTCTTCCACCATGACAGAATATTTGAAAGTAAAAGAATGCATTGTTCTTGCCTAAAACCAAGCACAGCAGGCCCAAGAAGTCAAATATCTCCTCCTTATCTCCTCCTTTTAATGCGATGTCTAACTTTTTTTTGCTTTTCAATTGGGTGTCTTGCTATTTCTCTTCCTACATCTGGCTTTCCATGTATATGGATGGAATGATGCTTTCTGCAGACCTGTGTATATGGAACATTATCCTTGCATACTTTCTTTGTTTAGGGTGTTCTCAAGCCATTCTATATGTCTGACACTTACTTACCGTGTCTTTCTCTGTCTCTGTCAGTTTGCCCGAAGCAATGTAGGCTTGCCTGTACTGACAAGGGGGAGTGTTGCCACAACCAGTGCCTCGGTAGCTGCACCGAACCCAACAATGACATGTCCTGCTCCGCCTGTCTCCACTACTACCACGAGGGTCGGTGTGTCCCAAACTGTCCCCCGGGCACCTACAAGTTTGAGGGCTGGCGCTGCATTACCATGGAACTGTGCGCTCAAGTGCATCTGGCCAGCGATTTTCACTTTGTTATCCACGATGGAGAGTGTATGCTCGACTGTCCCTCTGGCTTCACACGTAACGAGACTAATCGGTAAAGATGAATCCTTTATTCTTACTTTAGGCCCTGATCATTTGGAAATACCATGGTAACATATACGTTAACGTAAATACATTCACATTATATTAAGTGTTTTCCAGGCTTGCCCATCATTCTTAATACTCTGTATTTGAATTTGTAAGGGTTATAACCTGACTGCTATCAAAAGGAGAGCCACAGGTCTTGGTATTGTTTCTGAAGTAGATGCATGTTTATTCTGCAGTGCCCACATACACTAAAGCACTGTGCACTTAGGCATAATGAATCTATTTGCATGAAGTATCCTTCAGCTGAACTTCACCTGACCTCGGCTCTTCAAAAACTTCCTTTCTGCAAAACTGGAAGTGCTAGAGGTTTTAGAGTATGCGGGCTATTAATGTTTCAAGGTTTTTCCCAGACTACTTAGAAAGTGTAAAATGTGCTCAACACTTACCACTGGTAGATTTTACAGGCTAGCAAATAAAGGTATTAAGAAGAGACTTGGCTTGAGTGTCCTAAAACTTCCTGTACTTAACATCTCCCAACCAAGGATATATATATATATATATCTCGAAAGAGAGGGACAGGAATAAAAACACCCTTTTTGTCCCGTTTTGTCTCTTTCGGATTTGTATGTCTGTAAAGTTTCCATGCAGCCTTTCTGCTGCCGGATATTTTTTTGGCCGTACGACTGCTGCTCTGTCTCTGAGGTCAACACAATGAGTCACTCTCTCACGAAACCGAGTTCAGTCAAGGGCCCATAAAAGATTAAACTCTCCGTGTGAGAGGTGACCTTGTATCATGCACTGAAATTATTTGCATGAATTCTCTGGAATGCTTGGGAGCTGGGGAGTGAGCAAATTTTTTTCAGGGCGTGGTAGAAAAAGTTTTTCTCTGTATTTCTGACACTTTGTTTTTTTGTTTAGTTTTTTCACATGGCTCTTCTTGCTCATTCACCCCTATATTTGCTTCTTCTTTATACAGTATGCTATGCAGTGCTTGTAATGGCCCGTGTGATAAGGTCTGCAGATCCACTGTCATCGATTCTGTGAATGCTGCCGAGTTCCTGCAGGACTGCACCGTCATCGATGGCAATCTGGACATCAATATCCGCCGTGGAAGTGAGTGCAGCTCTGTACAATGAACATTCCTCTTAGAAGCACATGTACTTTACATTTTGGTGTGGACTTCACTACACTGCTATGCTGCAGCTAAGCAAACTATAGCTTTGTACACTTAAAATGATGAGTGTGAGCCAGTGAATTATTTAACTTGGCCAGAATCTGCTACATGGTACTTAATAGTAAACTTTTACTGTCTACACTCACTATACTACAGCTTGTTGCACTTGACTTCCCTACATTTATTATGTTTGGAGGTATAGTAAAAGCAGAAGGGCCGGGTGGAGCAACATCACATGTGCTTTTTTGCACTCTAACCCAATTATCACATTATGTTATAATGCTGTTTATTTGTTCAGTTGATAGAGTGGCTCAAAGGTAATCCCTGTATATGATAAAGATTAATCCGTTATGCGTTCATTGGCGGATTTGGATGAAGACCAAATTGGTTATCACAGTAGCAATAGATTTTCTTTATAGCTTTTTTGTATTTTTGTGTGACCAAATGTGTTTTGTTTTTCTTTGTTAAATCTCTTGTCCTCAGATAATATAGCCCCCGAGCTTGAGAGATTCATGGGATTGATCCAGACAGTGATGGGCTATGTTAAGATTCGACACTCCGACGCTCTTGGCTCGCTGTCCTTCCTCAAGAGCCTACGTTACATCAAGGGGCAGGAACTCATCGACAAGTAAGGCTCGTCTGCACTTTTAGGCTGTGGTAGCATGCACGTGCGAAGCGAGAGGGAATTAGAGGACAAGAGTGGATCGGAGCCAAGCAGCAAGCATACTGTTTTACATCCATAGATGTCAAACTAACCTCTTGTTGATAAGAATGCTTTTTGCAACACTTTTCACAGATATCGCAATATCCTTATAAAATGTCATGCACAAAGGCTAGATAAGTGACTGTGGCTACTAAGGCAACACATATTTTACAGACAAGGAAGTTAAAAAATACAAATCAAGTTAAAACAACTCAGTCTGAAGCAGGAGCGCTAAACATAACACCAGAATCAGCCCGGATACAAAGGAGAGTATAAGTTTTTTGACTTACTATTGGATTTTCATACGTTTTATGGCTTTTTCTGCCGATAAAGACCTCCCCCACAGCCATTTATACTTTATCAAAATAGTCAGGTGTTAGTTAAAGAATTAAATGACAGAAAATGTTCCTTTTTTCCACTGTCTATAGAAATCACAGTTTTAAAAATGAAAATGTTTAATCAATCAAGAAAAACAATGCTTACAGGAAATACAGGAAGCAAGCTAGTAGAACGTTTTCTGGGATCTGTTATTTATCATGTATAAAACCTAAGATGTGCTGTTGAAATTGCATCTCTATATCTTACGTTAAGACATCTCAGAGATTAGATGTGTAGATGAACTTCTTTGTACTGACAGGAATGCAAGTTTCACTCATCCGGCCCACTTAGGATCAGGCTGTATGCGGGCCTTTAAAATAAGTTTGACTTCGCTGGTCTAAAGAGAGCTGCTATGATAAGTTTCAAATAATGGGGTAGACTTCCATACAAATATGCCTGAAAGACAAAATCTCAGTTTTTGGGGGTTTTTTTTGCACTCTTGGCTCTGTATGACGCCTGAGGGAACAGCTGTGATTAATATGGTAATAAAACCCCGCCCACCAGAAGCAGCTAATCAGACTAACGTTGGCTTAAATGGAAAGTGACCTTAAAGGGAAACTAGATAAAATGACTCAGTTTATTATTATTATTATTATTATTATTATTATTATTATTATTATTATTATTATTATCATCTGTTCCAGTAGAGTGCGAAAATTAATACGTTACTGTAATTTAGCACAATAGGTCAATGAAGAGATGAATTAATAATAATATTAATGAAGATAATAATGATGATAATACATTTTCAGTAAGATTTAAACAAAGTTAAATGTACAGTCCATTAGTGTCTTCACTGTGATATTAACACTAGTCCAAGATACGAGTGAAAGTTTTTTTTAGTGATGGCCAAAGGGGTCATGGGGCCTGTCGCCCTTCTTGTTATCATTTCTTCCAGGGTTAAGTTTCACCAAGGAATGCTGTTGAGGGTGGCAGGCATTCCTTTCCCTCTGGAGGTGTTCATCTGTGGTACTTGGACTGGTAGAGCTAAAAGTGTTGGCGTGACAGTTTCTGTTTTATGTCCTCGTCTGTAGTAATGGAGGCCTGTTTTCAGGGAGACACACAAAGCTGAGGCCGTAATATCCACATCTGCTGGTCCTTAGTGGGACCAGCAGGTGGCAAAAAAAAGCTCCTTGAACAACATTTAGGGGAACGTTATATCCTGTGAAACACTTTACGTTTGGTTTTTTTGATAGAGACTATACGAGGTGCTTCTTACAGTCTTTTGATCTTTTTCTCCCAGCATGTATTCATTCTCCGCCATCAACAATCAGAATCTGAAGTACTTGTGGAACTGGACTGAGCACAACCTGACTATTAGCAGTGGACGTCTATTCTTCCGTCAGAACCCCAAACTCTGCATGTCTGAGATCTACAAGATGTGGGATAAAACTGGCATAGCTGTGAAGCCAGAGGAAGGGGATTTCCGCAACAATGGTGAAAGAGCCAATTGTGAGTAAATTCGTGTGAATTTTTGGTCCACATTCATTCAGTCATTCAGCTTGTGTGCACGTTTTTACTTTATGCATATGTCTCACCGGGGGCCAGGTGAAAGCCATATCTTGAAATTCAAATCCAACATCACATCCAGCCATGTGATCAATCTGACATGGGAGCGCTACCAGCCCCCCAAAAATGGAACCCTTATCAGCTTCATCATTTACTACAAGGAATCGTGAGTACACAAAGGCTTATTATTAGCCTCTGAGCATAAAGTAATTTAGTGTCTTACTTTCATGTCAACTGTCTTTTTTTTTTTAATGAAATTCTTTTTTTAATGTATTTTTTGCAGTCCTTTCCAGAACATCACTGAGTTTGATGGCCAAGATGGCTGTGGCTCAAATAGCTGGCACATGGTGGATGTGGATCTTCCTAAAGATAATAACAATGACCCAAATGTCAGACTTCAGCACCTCAAGCCTTGGACTCAGTATGCTATTTTTGTGAAGGCCATCACCCTGCAAGAGAGCGACAAAGATGCCACTGGAGCAAAGAGTGACATCATTTATATTCGCACACACCCATCGTGTAAGTGTGACCATCACTTTTGGTTTTGGCTTCAGTTTTACATTATTATTGTTGCGCAACTATATAAACACATGAACGACATAAAATAATCTAGTCTTTCCCCCTGGTACAGTGCCGTCTGTGCCTAAAGATGCCCGTGCATATGGTAATTCCTCAACAAAGCTGGTGGTGAAGTGGTCACCTCCACTTTTGCCCAACGGCAATCTCACTTACTACCTGGTCCGCTGGCAGCGTCAAGCTGAGGATAGGGAGCTCTACCAACATGACTACTGCTCCAAAGGTCTGCACTCCTCCTTATTCTAATAAGCAGCCAATATGTCTTTATTCTCTGACCTTTCAAACCTTTCCAGTTACTTAGCGAAGGCCACTCAGTCTTTCTTGCATCGTACAAACATTATTTGTTTTTTAAACTAATCTTAATGCACAGTTAAAAGAGGACAATCACCTGGAAGAGCTTTAGCTTGCCAAAACAAAAAGCTGGCCATTGTAATTGGTAAGGTTAAATCCCACCCTTGCTAAACACTCTTTTTTTCCTGGCTTTTCATTTCATATTTTCTTCAACAGACTTGAAGATCCCAATCCGAATCCCGGCGACGGAGCTCACAGACATGGAAGAGAACACAAAGCCCACAAAGTCAGACCTAGCAGGGCCAGAAAAGGTCCTGTGCTGTGCTTGCCAGAAGACACCAGAAGAGAAGGACCGTGAGAAGGACGACCGTGTCTTCTTGAAAGTTTTTGAGAATTTCCTCCACAATTCCATCTTTCTGGCAAGGTATGTCACATCAGTGGCCTCCTTAAACCGTTTATAGGCTGTGACCTCCCTTTCAAGTGCAGACAGCTATCAGAGCACTGAATGTAATTGCCTTGTTGGGTCAATGCGAAGACTGAGGTGGTGGAACGGGTTTAATGGCTCCTCTGTGGAGCGAACAAGATCTGAGCATGACGGGTGTGGACGAACCTGACGGACGCTGAGCTGGCCCGCTGAGGCCGGCCCTTTTGTTGGGTGGAGCAGATGAAGGAGACATGCTGAGTAGGTTCCAAAGCCTCCTCAGCACTCATGTGGCTTTTTTTATTGCCGCGGCAACGGTGGCACAGGGGTTGATGGGGTCTACCAGGCAGCAATTTGGACAAAACAAACAAACCCAGGAGAGAGACGAGATTAAAGAGTCTGAAGGGCCTCGTTTGGCTACACAATAGCTGCTTATGCTTTTGTTCCCCGCAACAGGACTGACATCTGTGTTGTGTTATCATTTCACTTGCTCGTGGCTATGGATGTTTCAGTGTTCCTCTCCCACAGTTCTCGGATAGGATAGGATAGGACAGGATAGACTGATGGATATTCATTTGTTAAAATGAGGAAGTTTATTTAATTGAACAGCACTGACCTTTTACTTCGTAGTGCTGTTCATGGAATTTGATCAATATGTTTTGGAGGAAAACTGCTAAAAATTGGCTGAACTGTTATCTATCTACACCTCCTCTTCTCTCTGGCTGTGCTGATTTGTTTCAGTAGAAGTGTCTAGGAAACTGGCGGGTGGCAGGTCCCTGGCCCTCAGCGAGGAGCTCGGCCAGTGTATGCACAGCCTCTCCACTGTAACACAGCCAACATTATTACAAACCACTCTAGGGAAAATGAGGGAGTTTTTGTCTTTCTTTCTTTCTCAAAAGTTCAGGGTTTAGACCCAGGGTGAGGGAAAAGAGGGTGCATGAAAACAGAAAGAGAAAGAAAAGGAAATGTTTTCCATTCTGTCCTTCTCAACTCGGCACTTCACGCTACTCCTCCCCTTGCATGCTCTCTTTGTCCGAGGCTTTTTTTTCCTCTTTTTTTCTTTCCTGTAACGAGGCAGCTGCCAGGAAATGTACAGTGAATCCATCTGGAATCTAAATGAATGAGGGAAGAGCCCCATCAGCCGTAGAAGACAAGTAGAAAATAAGGAAAGCAGACTGATTTATGGGGAAAAGGAAGGGGGCTGCCTCACGATGAATACATACAGATGAGGTGAAAAGGACTCCCTGAAGTTGCCTCTTCTTCTATCAGATGTTTCACTATTATCCATGATCCTGTTGTATTGTATGAGTTGTCAACTGCTTACAATGTGCCCCACTAACCATGGAGTGAATGTGTAGTCACGGCTTTCCTCTCTGGATTCCGATGCATAAAGGTAGAGCTTTTTTAGCAGGTGAGGTCAGGGCACTGTAGTAACTACAGCTACAAAGCATGTGACAGGTAGCAGATGATTTCTTTTTTCTTATTTCACTGTCATTATCGCCCATACAGAAAGTCGAAGCCATAAAATGTCTGTCGCCTGCTCATTTCTTCTTCTTCTTGGCTTTGATGAACGGCTACTGTCAGAGTGAATCAGTGTCACGAGTCTTTTGTCTGTAGTCTCTACCATGTTGTCAGTTTTCATGTATGTGTGATGTAGTCAGTAATAACTAAAAGGCTGGGCTTTGGTTTGCTGGACTGCAGCACTTTTAGCTGTCAGAGAGGAATGCTGACATGTCAGTGAAACTGCCTTTCCCACATTTCTGTCTTTGTCTGTGCACTCCTCTTCCTGCAGGTCGACTTGAAAATAAAACACGCATTCTGTAGCTTTCGCTTAGTTATCTTCTTCGTTTAACATGGTAGTCTACTGTACTGCGTAAAAGAAGAAGTCCCATCCAGCCTCCAGCATAGCTACTGCCACTGCACTGAGCTGACCACAATTACGTGTGATTTTGTTAGGGCCATTGCTCCCTGCTCCGAGGACTCAGTGAAGCGCACATAGGCAGTGCAATCAACTCCCATTCCCCAATTCACAGACTTACTTTTGTTTTAAAGTAAAACAAAAGTAAGTAAAATAAAACATGCATTCTGTAGCTTTTGCTTAGTTAGCTTCTTAGTTTAACATGGTAGTCTACTGTACTGCGTAAAAGTCTTCAATTTTATATTTTGCTAGGAAAATGGGGAACAGGTGTAGAAGTTTATTGAAATGTGCAAACATGCAAGCTTTCTTTGTAAATTTTTAAAGTCGTCTTCATGAATAGTTCTCCGGGCTTCTCCAATCTCTTAGAATTTTTGTTCTTTTTTGTTCTGTTCTTTGTCAAGCTGCAACAATCTTGAGATCCGGTTTTTGGGGAGGCCGGTCCATGACTGATCGTGTTGCACTGTGTGTTTTGCTATCCCGTATGGTTTTACTTGCATTGGCAGTGTGTTTGGGATCATTATCACTCTTTGCCTTTCTTACACGTTCCAAATGGTGTTGCATAACTTGATCATTCCACCAATTTCGACAAAATCCACGACACCACTGGCCGAAATGCTGCAGACACATCTCTCCTGACCTCCTCTGTCCATTGCTGCTCACCTGGACCTGTTGTCTTTGGCAACTAAAGAAATACGTCTTTGCTAAGTTATCTGCTATGCGTAGGAACAACACCGCTGCATCCCTCGAGCTGGGTTCTTTTATAACAATTTAATGATTCAGAGATTCGTGTTAAGTTGCTTAACAACTAAACAAAACAAAAGGTTTCTCTGAAAATGCTCAGAAAATCAGAGAAATACCAAAGAAAAAAATTTGAAGGACCTTTAGAAAGAATGAAGAACTTCGACTCAATGTAACTTCTAAAAATTAAAAGAAAGTCTGGCTTCTTGGAAGCAAAATATAAAGAAATCAGAACTGAATCGTTATTGTCATTACAGCAATGAAATTGAGGTGCAATTCTCTCAGTGCAAAAGAAGAATAAAAAATAAAATAAAGAATATATATATTTATACATCTATAACAACAAACACAGTTGTTTCTGTATTGCACCACTTGCCAGTGTTGATGTAAATGCCAACGTTATAAAGAGAGAAGCGGTGGCTCAAGATTTTTGCACATGACTATAGGAACAAATTCTTTTTTCTGTGGATTTGTGGTTTCTGTTCATCTCATGAAAAAATTACAAAAAGTAGATTTTATGGATTTGAATTATTAGTCAGATTGTTAAAAACACTGTTTAATGGTGTTGTAGACCAAATAATGAATCTATTAATTATTACAAAAACAACAAATTATTAAAAAAAGTAGCTGCAGTTCTAATTCTCAGTGTACAGTTTGAGTCATTTAGTTGAAGTTGCTATTTTTCTCTGAGCTAAGCTGTCTAAACCCAGTCACTTGTTCATTGTCACATTCGGTTTTAGACAACCCCCAAACATGTCTGTGTACGAGCTCTATAAAGGGCATCAGTAACACTTTTATCTTCTGAGTCACAGCAAGTGCTTTTTTTCTTTGTCTGTCTTATTGACCACCCTGCATCTTTCACAGGTGGACAAGATGTCCTGTGGTATCTCCTACTGCTAAGGTCACAGCTGTCATCGCCTCTTTGCTTTCAATTATGATGATGTCCAGGTCTTGGCAGCTCCACCCAGTATCATATGAACTTTGAGTGAACTGAAGACTAAACATTACTTTTCAGAGTTTAACCTTTTGGGTTTTTTTTGTTTGTTTTTTTTATCAGGGGCATTTTGGACATTAGCGTTAATGTCTGTTTTTTGCATTTCTCCGTCAGTCAGCCTCTCAGTGATCTAATGACCTAATAAGAACAGCACAACTGGGAGTAGCAATCACTCCGTGCTTTCCATGAAAGATGTTTAGCTTTGCGCAAACATTTTTTCAGGAGGTATAAACCATCACTGACATGCTACAATAAGGGTTCCAGGACATACAATGCACCTTTTTGTCTTTTGTTTCCCCAGCACTGCTCATTGAATTTTAATGATCTGTGCTACAGGTTTTATATTCAATTGTGTCTTTGTATTTCAGACCTCAAGAACGTCGGCGCAGAGACCTTTCTGGTACAGCAAACAACACACTGTTTTATGAGGGCGGCAGAGGGAATACCACTCTCGGCGCAGGGGATAACAGTACAGATGGCATTCCTCCTAACGTAGAGTTCCCCTTCACTGAAGACAAGAGCACAACAGAGTATTTAGAGATCCCCAATCTGCGGCCCTTCACCGTCTACCGCATTGATATCCATGCGTGCAACGAGGTGGTGGGGAAGTGCAGCGCTGGAGCTTTCGTCTTCTCCAGGACCAAACCTGCAGGTTAGAAACATAATAAAAAGCCTGCATTCAACTACCTGTTTTCAGTAATGCTGACAAATATAAAGAGAGTGCATTTCTTGTATTTACCTGAAAAAGTCACAAATATTACTTTTTCCAGTGTTTTTTGGATATCGGGCAAAAAACACTGGAAAAGGTGTATAATGCTGAAAAACACTTGGTCAAACATCTCACACTTAGTTGGGTTAATTGGAAGGAGGTTGGTACCATGACTGGGTATAAAACAAAGCTGAGCCTTTCGGAAATAAAGGTGGAGAGGGTTAAAATATAAATATAATATAAAAATATAAAATCTCTGTTTTCAAATAGATTGAGGATTTAAAATGACTCCAAGTGATTGTGTTGATTTTGTTTTCATTTACACAGCATCCCTGCTGTTTTTGGTAATATAGTGGTGTGGAAAATGAAATGTGCTGGCACCTTTTCTGAAATTAAATATCCTTGTTTATATTATCGTGGTTGTGCCTGTTCCCCCAGTCAAAGCGGATGACATCCCGGGCAAGGTGATTTTTGAGAGGTGTGACAAAATCGAGGGGTGTGTGGTGCTGCACTGGCCAGAGCCCGTTATGCCCAATGGACTCATCTTGATGTATGAGATCAAGTTCCGCCTGGGTAATGAGGTGAGCTGGACTGGGGTAATTATAGCTTATTATCATAGGTCATTTCCTTTTTCAACATTGAAAAGCCTGGAATCCATGACTATCCAAATATTGTAAACAACTGAAAAGGCTCTCAGTGTTTGCTCAGTGGAGGATTCACATGTTTAAAACGTGCACCAGACTCCAATCATGCTCATGCACGCAGGGCTTAAACACTGAGTAAAACCAAAAACAAATGACAATCTCTACACAATAGAAAGCTGATTGGAGGCCATCAAACCTTATTCACCTGAAATAAGAAACAAGAAATCATATTTTTGATTAGATGAGAACATTAACCGGATGGTATGTTTTCTTCCAAGCAGTAACCAGCGTGTGCTTGTTCTCTTCCAGCCTGAGAAGCACAAGTGTGTGTCGCGACAGGATTACCGCCGGTACAAAGGAGCTCGACTAACCAACCTTGGCTCGGGGAACTACTCCGCCCGAGTGCGTGCCACTTCCCCGGCAGGAAACGGCTCCTGGACAGAAAGTGTTTTCTTCTATGTGTCTCCACCTAAACGTAATGAACTTCTCCCTAATTACATGGAATGCAGAGGAATGAAAAATAAATAGGACTTGACACCATCGGTTTTTGTCTTCTCTGACAGGTGATGACGGTGTTATGTTGTATGTGGTCATCATAATTCCCATCATTGTGACAATTTTTATCGCCAGCCTCATCACCATCCTCTTCTATGTGAACAAAAAGAGGCAAGTATCTTTTTGCAGACGCGCTTTTAAAACTGCCTGACAAAAGTTCTTTGATTAAGCTGTTCTGCCTGGCTATGCTCACGAAGCTTAATGATCAGTGTAATGTTAATCAGCGCTAATAGGTGTTGTTTTCATTAACGTTCCCCTGTGGTAAAGAGTAGACTTCCTCTTGAAAATTGTACACAGCATCTGCAATCAGACTTGCCTGCAGGCTAACTGAGTTTGTGTTAACAGGAACAGTGACAGACTGGGGAACGGCGTCCTGTATGCATCAGTCAATCCAGAGTACCTCAGTGCTACTGAGAGTAAGACTGTTGGATATTTGGTCTATTTTTCATTGGGTTTTTTGGGTGGGGTGTTTAAACTCTGATGGTGACCCGCTGTCTCTTGTGCCACACCAGTGTATGTCCCAGATGAGTGGGAGGTAGCAAGGGAGAAGATCACTATGCACAGGGAACTGGGCCAGGGATCCTTCGGCATGGTGTACGAAGGCATCGCAAAGGGAGTAGTGAAGGACGAACCTGAAACGAGAGTGGCCATCAAGACGGTCAATGAGACGGCCAGCATGAGGGAGCGAATTGAGTTTTTGAACGAGGCCTCTGTCATGAAGGAGTTCAACTGTCACCATGTGGTAAGTTGGACGCGTCATCAAATCCTTACCAGCTGGCTCATGTGGTTATTAATAATAAACCAGTGTATTGTCATAATGAATCCAGTCACGAGATGAAATTGATCCTCGCAGACGTAGACTCAAGTACGCTGTGGTTGTCTTTATTCCGACAGCTGCAGCATGACTTGCAGTTCAGACTCCAGGATATACTGTATATTCTCACTTCAGTGTGATCACAGCATCAGTAACTGCATAACGTGGATGTGTTGTTAAAGCCTTTTTATTAGTCACTGTTTTTTTTTAAGGATAAAGATCTTTAACAATGCTCCAAGCAACAACAACAACAAAAAAAAACACATTTAAATTGCAAATGCAGGATGGAGCTGAACTGTAACCTAGTGTGCTTCTGAGTCAGACAACCTACCTTACTGCCTAGTAATTTATTGCTACTGAATGCACTATGTGGTGGTCTTTAAAGTTATCTAGATTTAGTGGAAGCCAAACATTTTATTCTAACAAGAAATCACACAAAACCCAACAGTGAGAAAGTCTAGTGAGACTTTGTGGTTTGCTTTGTGGGAGAATGGTGTTGATCAATGGAAAATACAAAGTGATTTGAGTCAGGACCACTGTAATAGGTGAATACTCACATGTGCAGTAATTTGGATTTGGTGGCATGGCTCTGTTCTGGGGTATTCTTGGCACGAGTTAGGGTGAACAGCAATATGATCCACCAAAGGCAGGCAGGCAGGTTAAAGGTGCCATAAGAGATTTGTAGAAGTGTAGAAGGGTATCATCAATCTGCTGGATCACAGCTGAACTTGACTTGCCTATTTGAATGAACTCTGTGCTGTTTTTTTTTTATAAAAAAAACCTTTTTTCAGAGCTTATAAAGTTTTGAGCATATTTCATATTTTCCTATGTGAACAAAACCTACTTTGAAGTTATATGTAGCATGTATTTTGGACACAGTTTTGTTTTATCAGAGCTGACCCCTCTGCACTGCTGTGATTAATGTAGGTGCGGCTGCTTGGCGTGGTCTCTCAGGGACAGCCAACCTTAGTGATTATGGAGCTGATGACTCGCGGAGATCTCAAGAGCCACCTGCGCTCCCTGCGCAAAGAAGTAAGCAACCTGTCCACGTGTGCACACACACACACACCTCTGCTCTCTTTCTTAATTTTTACAATTTCTTCTGCCACGCTTATACATCATCCACGCTACGCTTTGTTTCGCTCAGCTGATTAAAGCAGAAAGGCGTGATATGTCGACTGACTGAATAGTGCTTTTCATGGAGTTTCTCTTCTCACCGCCTCTTGCTCTACCGCAGAACGCCACCAGCCAGGTCTTACCCCCACTCAAAAAGATGATCCAGATGGCTGGAGAAATCGCAGACGGTATGGCGTACCTAAACGCCAACAAATTTGTCCACAGAGATCTGGCAGCGAGGAACTGCATGGTAGCAGAGGACTTCACTGTGAAGATTGGAGGTAAGTCAAGTTAATATATTGCCTTCAGCCTCCCCCGCTCTGCCGGCCTTGACAAAAAACTGTTTGGATTTCAGTGTCGGACCCAAGCACGTTAATGTAGATGGACAGAGGGGAGGGAAGAGGTGAGAGGGATAGATGAGCTCTCTGGAGCTTCCTCTCCCACACATAATGAGTGATACTTAGTGGCTTCCTCAACTTCTGCTTTCATTTTTTTCCAGATTTTGGCATGACCAGAGATATTTATGAGACGGACTACTACCGAAAAGGAGGAAAGGGCCTGCTGCCTGTCCGCTGGATGTCTCCAGAGTCACTGAAAGATGGCGTGTTTACTACAATGTCTGATGTCTGGTATGGCAGCAAATCACTCTTACATATACACAAGCCTGCATTAGACTAGGGCTGCCACAAACGATTATTTTGATAGTCGACTAGTCACCGATTATTTTTGCGATTAGTCGACTAAAGATCATGCATCCATTGGATGTACAGCTTATTGCACCAGCAGCATCTGCTCTTATATAACTATCATTAGCTTACAGCTTTAAGTGTTTAAGGTATGTGCTAACTAAAAATAAAGACAAGATGATAGTTTATTAAATTTTAGTGAAATTTGCAGATTGTTTCGGTGAAGTTTAAGAAACTCCTTGCTATCTAAAATATAACAGGACACCGGAGTATATTCTCCAGCATCTCGCACTTCTGATAACCAGTTGTCTGCTTGACGTTTATTCAGCTGTGTAAAAACTATAACTTTAATCTCAGCCAAACCGATTTACTCAGGAACAAATAAAATACTAAAAAAAAAGCCAAACAATAACATTTTTAAGTTATCTAAGTCACTTTTAAATGTTTAACCTGAGTAGCGAAAGACGGTGGTGGGTTTGAAAACAATTTTCCGGGAGCCGTTCTCACGGGCTCTAGTGAGCCTTGCACCCGGCTAGCTATCGAGCTAGTGGGTAACAGACGTCTCCGAAAACGTCGGAGCGCTTTTGAAAATATGTGGTGTCTTGATAAACTGAGCAGATATTTGAGGTTTACACAGCTACATTCTCGCCTGAAAATATGTTAAACGTTTATTTTGTGACCCAGAAAGAATAATAAGAGTAATATTAAAACTAACTAGCTGCCGCCATTGTGGGCACTACCCGATCCGTACCGGAAACCCGATCGGTACCCCGCATGCGCAAATCTTACGTCACTTCCTCTCTTTGCCAACATTGCGACATTCAATATATTTGAATGATACGGTTAGCGCCCAGTTAGCTCCTAGCATTTCTCAACAGCTCTGACTGCCCGGGACATTTAAACAATGGATAATCCGTATACAAAGAAATTCATGCTTTTCTCCTCAACAGAGAGCGTCCCCCGATTGAGCAACAGCGCCGTAAAATAAGAAGAATGGCGCCTAATTACAGAGTTAATAATGCAGACTTTGTAATATCTCACGTGTAGATTCATCAGCCAGATGAAGTGTTTACTGACAATTGACAGTGATAGCGCACATCATCATCACTATTCCAACAATCCTCTCCTCACAGACAAGCATAAACACACTCGACTATCGCTAAATCAAATTTAACACACGTTTGTAATGACGCTAATTCAGTTTATAATAGGGTTTATTCGCTCGGTCAGCAGGTGGCGGTATCCTCGTACACTGGGGAGTAACTGCCGCATTGTTGGAAACTGAGCTGGGCTGCGCTATGAATTCTGGGACACAGCTTCTTCTTCTTCTTCTTCTTCGGGGTTTAACGGCAGCTGGCATCCTTGTACATGCAGTGCTGCCATCTTCTGTTTCAGTCCGTTATTACACTCTTAAATCCTACTACTTATTCCTGCGTCTTTTGGGATCTTACAAAGCTTCAAACGACGCGTCGACTATTAAATCAGTTGTCAACGATTTTGATAGTCGATGTAATCGTGGCAGCCCTACATTAGACATGTATGAACCTCCTTAAATCCAGAAAGATGCTAAGTTTTCCATAACCACCTCAATATTTTTTTTGCCTTTGTCCTTGTGTATACTCTAAAACAGTTCATGCTGTGGCAAAAAACTAGATAATATATTCTAATGATAATTTTCTACTTTAGTTTTTTTTTTTTTTTAAATCATGACTACTGTTTCCAAAAGCATCCAAACCTTTGGTTTTCTGGCTGCCTCTTTGGAAATTCCTGGCAAAAAAGTACAGGCCAGGAGTATTCCTCTTCTTCTTTTTTTCTCCATTTACTGACAACTCTATTATTCCACTGTTTCGTAGATTCCCAGCCTACAGCACTGCTACTTTTTTCCTGTGTTTTACTACTGTTTACTAGAACCCCCTGCATGTTTGTTTCCCCAAATGTCACGGGTTAGTCCCTAAGAGTGGGCTTAAACTGCTCCAGATGTCTTTAAATGAGAGGTTGCCGTGCCAGCACAAACACACCTCCACAATTTGTGTACTATATCCTCCCCTTTGATGTTGTAAAGAAGTTTAGTGTAAGATAACCCTGATGTCATCATGAGTAGGTGACTGTTTGAGATCCTGGTGTGCAGTATTGTAATAGGCCTTTTTTTATTTATTTTGTTTTTAAGTTAAGCATACCATTTGAAAATTTGGCTAGCCAAAGTAGTACAGTAAACAAATATTGTGGTCATCGCGAGGCAGTCTTGAAGTTAAACTGAAGAAATACTTCATGCTGAGGTTTTTCCTGCAGTATTGTAATCATGTAAGCTGTGTTACAACATACCGTGCCACACGTCATGAAGTTAAAATAAGAAGCAGGGTAAATGCTCAGTACCAGCTCTCCGACATCCTGCGTTCATTTTGGATTCTAGTGCAGATTATTTGGGGAACTTAAAGTTGCAATATTTAAAATAGCATTCATCTTTTTGGGGAACTTGTGGACAGATATGAGCTAAGGATACATGACACACTCCAAAAAGAAAAGAAAAAAAATGAAGCCTGAAATAAAGTCAGCAGTGTCAGCTCAGCTTGTGCGCTGTTAGTACTGCGATCGATGGATGGCAGTGAGAGTATTTCAGTCCAACACGGACAGAACAAAAAGTCAGAAACTATCGGTTAGCCTTAGATTAAATTGGGTTCAGACATTCACTGCACCCAGGAGATGAATCCCACTTACTGCTTTACAGCCACTTTCTCTGCCTTTTCATCTTGCTTCATCACGAGATCAGAATTTTCAATCTTCTAATACATTTTTTAATGACTAGATTCCAGTAAATCTCACCAACTTAACACAATAAACTAAGGCACAGAGCACGCCAAATCAGATACCTGCCTAGCATCAGCCTGTCACTGTGAGCATGTTATCATGCTGACATCAGTCTTTTTCCCCCCTCTTCTGTATATTAAAAGGCCTTTATTACCTTTTCTGTATCAGTCAGTCAGGCTGTTTGACATTTAGTCCCTCTAAAACCATTACTAGAATATTCCTCTCTGTTTAGGTTGGACATTTATGCACATCTCAAGCACCACGGCTCTCAAACAAGCACCATATGTGGCTCTTATTAAAAAAGGAATATATGAAAAATATGATTTGTACTCATTGTTTGTATGCAAACAGTGCAGCTCAATTTTGAGTGGAGGGAGTTTTTGCTTTTATTAGATGGTTACCAAGTATTACTGGTGAGGCATTTTCAGGTCACCCTGATAACAATTTAGTCACTAACATAATGGATGTAATTTCTTTCAAATTTAGAGCGATGATGTAGGATAGGCTCTTCAAAGTAAAGTTTATTCCTAAGTAATAAAAGAATATGTGTGCTTGATCGATGGTTAAAATAAACGTTTACTGTGAAAGCCGAAAGAGCATCACATAAAATACCACAATATATTACTTGAATATGTTGCCTAATTTCTCGCTGCAGGTCATTTGGTGTCGTGCTGTGGGAAATCGCCACCTTAGCTGAACAGCCTTACCAGGGGATGTCTAATGAACAAGTGCTGCGCTTTGTCATGGAGGGAGGACTCTTGGACAAACCTGACAACTGCCCTGACATGCTGTAAGTCTTTCTTTTTTCAAATCTGTGACCCTGCCCTTAAGAACAATAAAACTAAGTAACATCAGCTTGGATTTATGAAGGATATTTTATCCTCTACAGCCGCAGCCACCCATGTCTTCTGTCCTATTAATATTTTGCCCCGTTTTATTTTAAGTTGTGGCTCTGAGTGTGAAGGATATCGTGTGTATAAGTTAAGGTAGAGCCAGGACGAGGGCCGACATTAACGTCACAGGATAAATGTGGTCCGTTGACGACATAGCTTCAGTGGTCAGCTGGCAGTGAGAACCCTGCTCAGCCTTCAGCGCCGGCCCATAGAAGGGATGCCACAATCAGTGTGTGAAAGATGCCCCTCATTCCTACTACGGAGGGAGGTAGTGCCTGTCTGTCAGCGTGGTGGATGAGAAAGTTATCATTATTTAACTTTAAATTAATCAGTCAATCAATCAAACACTTTGGAAGTTAGAGGGGAAAGAAAAGCCCGAGCACAGCCTGCTCGTCGGCATGCAGCGCTGCATACATGCATTTCGATTCTCCGTCTCTGACCTCAATAAGAAGGCATTCTGCTCTCTCCCCTCCCACTCTCCACGGCTGACCTCACCTTAGAAAGAGTGTGAGTAACAAAAAAAAGAAAAAAGAAAAAGAGGATCAAGTGTTGTGCAGACACAAACCTCGTGTTTCTATGGCAGCGTGGCTGTTTTGTCCTGATTACAGGAGTGTGTGGATTGTGTTACAGAGGTGGTGGAGTCAGGGCTTAGCAGCACACATGGAAGTCAGGCCACTGTCGATGGTCGCCTCTGCTGTAGTGACTTAATGGAGATTTCCAGAAGATTGCCCAAGTGCAGTGAAGCCAGAGAGTTCATACAAAGACTGAATAGAAAGATACAGAAGAAGTGGAAGTGGGCAGGTTAACACAAACAGGGATGAGTCATATTTCGAGAGCCTTAAATGTCTCCTACTTGTACTGTTTCCTTTGTTTCTCAGGTAGCTTTGGTCACTGATTGTTATTCTCATGTTTCTGTCTAGAGTTTCCCAGAGATAAAAGTGCTTTTCCTCCTTCAGAATTGGAAAATAAATGTGACTAAATTAAACATCATTATTTTTCTGTGGAATATCACTTACACGCTATTATCCGTCAAGGTTTTGCCACGCCGGGGAGGTTGCACGTGTGAAGTTTTTCAGATCTGGCAGGGATTCCTGTTCAGGTTTATTAAGCATTTAGCATAGATGTTTGGAGACTTTTTTGCACTCACACTTGGCCTGAAATTGCGTCTGTTTCTGATTTTTATCAAGCTTTGTTGGCCCATCTCTTCTGTGAATATTTGGCTTTATCCAGGCCAGTGAAGATTTTCTTATAATTCTGACACTGACTATCTCATATTCGCTTGTAACCGTCCTTATACAGTATATCAGACAGTGAAGTCAGAATCTGTTTATTGGCCCAGTACGTTAACACACATGAGCTCTCACTATATTTTAATACCGTGCAGATGGCAAATTCGCAGGATAATACAGATACAGACATACAGCCAAGCAAAGATATCGAATCAGCCAGAGCAAATAAAGAAAAACAGAAACAAAAAAGCAGACCCGAGGCAAACCATCCGAGCCGCCATCTCAGTAACTTAATAGCTGCTGCTCAGCTGTATTTATACAGCACATTTGGTACACTCAAATTTGAATGTGAAGTGATTCGGGGAAAAAAAAAAAAAAAAAACACAGCTAAAGAACAAGTGGAGTTTTAATGCAGTGCAAGTAAAGCTCATGTAATCTGTTTTGTGTTGCTGACAGGTCCAATGTTAGTCAGTTTAGCCAAAGCATGTGGCCTGTGGGTCACGATTGGCAGGATGCTGACAAGAAGTCAGGATTTACAGTGTTTGTTTTCTAAATTTGCATCAAGAAGCCTCGTGCGAGACGGCGTCGGAAGTTTGCAGCAGACGGGTTACTCTGGTGCATCGGCCTTACTTCCAAGCGCCGTGCGCCTTTTTCACGGGAGGTCCTTGCTTGCCCGAGCTCGGACATCTGAACGTCAACTTTGAGACACTTCCTGCACATGTGCAAAACAAGTCTGAGCCGCCCCCTGCTGCTTCAGAGCATGAAGCGAGGCACGTGCTTAAGAAAGCTTTACCCATAATTCCTCTGGCGCGGAGAGGAGCTGGCACCCAGCTGCAGAGGTTATTCTAGATGGCAAAGAGACCACTAGGAAAAACAAGACAGAGGGAACAGCAAGAACGGAGCAGCGATGGCCAAGGTGTTTATGTCAGCGGGCCTTAGAGAGTATTCTGAGCTTGTTTGTGTATAATTGGAGCTGTGGTGTGCGGTCCAGCACCACACAAAACTGTAATAATTCTCCCGTTTATGATGTTGTTTTGACATTCCCAAAGCTCGGTCGCTGGCCTGGCACAGTAACCTTAAGTATGATTTACTGTTCTGCTGAGTGCATGCTACATTTCTGATCTTACTGTATTTGTTGTTAAAAAGAAAAAACAAACAGAACCCCCAAAATAGAAGAAAAAAAAAAACGGCAAAATTTCAAAACAATTGAACTGGCATAAAAATAGTTTGTGGATTTACTTACTATATTATTGCCACTGAAAGCCTTGTAGCTTGCAGCAACTTTGGAACGCGCGCACATATATTTAGTCTTTTGGCCACAGTCTTACAGGGTTTTAATTATATAATTTTATGGGACAGTACTTAAAGAGAAGGCATGCTCACCAAGATTACCTGCCAACAAACCTGCTTCGAATTAATGAGCAGCTACAAGTGGTAAGGACAGGTATTTACAATAACGACATCCTTTTTTTCCCCCCCTTTTCTTAAAGAAAGAACTGTGAAGCATAAAATCTAGTGTAGCACACTTTACCAACGCTGATATTACAGTCTCTGTTCTTTCTTCATGATCAGTGTTATGAACTGAGTTGTAGTGCCAAAAAGCCCAAAAGGGGCCTTCAGTTTCTCCTGCCACCTGCTGGACAGAAACAAGACTTACAGGGCCACATGATGTTTTCATCCCTCCTGTCCTTACCGGTTGTAAAGTTTGCTTATATGTTGCAGTTTAAGAAGTTTCTGTTTGTCAGTTCAAGCTGGTGTGTGAGAAATGTTTACACAGAAATGACAAAAATGATGATTTTGTCATTTATCTTTCAGGTTTGAACTGATGCGAATGTGCTGGCAGTATAACCCTAAGATGCGTCCGTCCTTCTTGGAGATCATCAGCAGCATCAAAGACGAACTGGATCCTCCCTTCAGGGAAGTGAGCTTCTTCTACAGCGAGGAGAACAAGCCGCCGGACACAGAGGAGCTGGACATGGAGGTAGAAAACATGGAGAACATTCCACTGGACCCTTCATCCGTGAGGCAGCCGTCGACTGCTGTCATTTCCTCGTCTGGGTGTGCAGGAGGCATGTCTCCTCCTTCTACGCATCAGTTATCCCCCATGCAAGGCCCGAGTACGCCATTACTGGGACCTGTTTCTAACTCTCCTCCCGGCCCACTTGCTTCAGCCTTGGCGTCTCCAGGACTAGCCTTGGACAAGCACTCAGGACATGCTTCGGCCAACGGGCCTGTCGTGGTGCTGCGGCCCAGTTTTGATGAGATACAACCCTATGCACACATGAACGGGGGCAGAAAGAACGAACGGGCGCTACCACTGCCCCAGTCATCAGCCTGCTGATATCAGACCAGCCCTCTCCTCCTTCCCCTTTTACACAGGGTATCACAGACCTCTCATCTGTCTCTTAAGGAGGGATGGATGAGGTAAGAAATTGCTTTCTTCTACTGTTTGCCAGTAGATGGTCTCTCCACTCTTAAGGTCAAACATAAACTCGGAAGAAATGGAAAACAAGATAGCACAGAGCAATTGGTGGCTCAAGCTCAACACTGGGAAACTCCATCCTGCGCAGCCTGTATCTGAGTCTTTGTTATGTAAGAGTCCTTAAAGAAGGAAAACGATACAGGCATGTATCCTGACTTACAGATTTACACATGAACTTTAAGAAAATCTTTTTTTTTAAAGCATATCTGCCAGCAAAACCAACAGAAGAGCACTTTTTCCTCATGATTTCAGAGGTGATGTGATGGATATTCAAGTGTGTATTTATACACATAATACATAATACGGTATAGCTCCATTTCTAAAATTACTTTCCATCAAAATGACTGTATTCACATGAGCAGACTGCCTCATGTTGCGTGAGGATTAGAAAGGTTCCAACTTTTCTGATCCTCTAAGATCTTTTTTTTTTCCATTTTATTTTACTGTTGATGTTTCTATGGGATTTTGTCCTGTGTAGGTCAGAATGGTAGAGGAAGATCTATTTTCTGCCAGACTATTGCCAAATCATGCTTTCTCTTCAGTTTCCTAAAAGGTGTCCCTTCTTACTGACGATTGTGGTTCAGAGTTGTGTCTGTGTGAAAGATAATGCCAAGATTGCCTGGCTGTTTTCAGTCTTCATGTTTATCTGTCACTGCTCCTGGAGCAGCTGTGTGTAGGAGTTTGCTGCCTTCACCATTGGTTATCACTTATTTTCTATGTTTAATGCAGATTTTACTGGTTCCATCTCAAAACTGAGGACTGGCTGACTTGTTCTCAGCCTATGTAATAATTTTTCTCTTTTTCTGTGTGCACACCAATCACATGGCGGCACAGTGGTATAGTGGTAAGAGCTGTCGCCTCACAAAGTAGAAGGTTCTGTGTTCAAACGCTGGCTGCGGACACTGTGTGGAGTTGACATGTTTTCCCTGTGCCTCTGTGGGTTCTCTCCAGGTACTCTGGCTTCTTCCCACAGTCCAAAGACGTGCATGTTAGGTCAATTGGTGTTTCTAAATTGGCCACGGATGTCTGCTACAGCCTGCATCCATGGCCATTTAAAATGTGACTGAGTGGTGAGCAAGACTAATAAAGCACTAAATATGTGAGAGCATTACAAACACCTGACAGATTTTCAGAAAAAGAGAAAAGCCGTGGTGCTGATTGGCTAATCAAAAGTTTGCTTGCCCACCTACATGCCCTTCATTACTTTCATCTTTCAAACATCTGAGGGAAGAAGGCATGTGATTGAAGCACAGCCAACTCTGAGTCACAGCCTCTGTCTTTGTTTAATTTATTTAAAAAAAGAAAAAAGAAAAAAAAAAGGACTGAAAACATCAAAGCATCAGAAGGTCGCACTTCAAATGAGCAAATCACTGAACTTTATACTTTACGAATACAACTCTGGCTCCACTTTGACTTCTTCTAACCTTTTTTTTCTGAGATTTTCAATTGTGCATTTCACAGTGGGAGGTGAACATGGTTCGCCGGCACTGCTGTACTGAATACAACGCAAGAGACAGAAAATGAGGTGATTTTAGTAGCCTAGAGACAGCTTTCAAGTCACAGGTGGTCTCTTTTTCGAACAGTCAATAGTTTATCTACATTTCAAACACATATAAAGGTCTTACAGTTGTATTTTTGACTGCAGGATCGTTTTTATACACTCATTGGTTTTTGTCACTTTTTTAAAACCTTTTTACGGTTAAAAAATGTTTGCCTCTATGTCTGTACAGAACAAAGCTGCTATTTTATTCTTTTCCTCTTTTGGATGTTATATATATATATATATATATATATATATA